ATTAATCATTGAATATTTTTTTGTTTAAATATTCGTACTGGTTGACTTTTTGGACACTGTAAACTTATAGTCGATTAGCCGTTAGTTTACGATTTTATTCTTATACGAAATTGTACATTTAAATTACACACAATTACAATTTACTTTTTTTAGAAACATAGAAAACAAGAAAGCAATCCAAAGCATGTGTGTGTGTGAGAGAGAGAGAGAGAGAGAGAGAAACCCAACCATCTTTTTAGTTGAAAACTTGGGAGTTGAAGAATATGATAATTAATAGATGAGATTAAAGTCAAACTTTTGAAAATTGAATTAATATAAATTCAAGTTTGGCACACTACGCCGTTTAGCTGACTCTATAGTCCATATAAAAAAAACCGTTTCAACCTATCCTCGTCAATTTTAATAAAAAAATGTGTAATTTTCATTTACCGTCACTGAACTTTTAGCAAAAATTCGATTAGATCAGTAAACTTTTATTTATTTCAATTAAATCACTAAACCTCAAATTAGTTTATAAATTGAAATGTCACACACAACAATTAAATAAAAGATCTATTATGTATTAATGTCAACTAAGTAATTTTCATCAATTTAAGAGACGTCAATTGACGAAATGGTGAAATTTGAGTTAAAGATGATTGATCTATAATTTCAAACTAATATTTAGTTCACAGGCAATTCTTATCCGGTGTGCTATGAGAAATATCCTTTCACTTTCGCCCTTTGTTTTTTCATTAATTTATACTTTGATTCCATCATTATCATTTCCCATCTGTCCATTACAAAAACCCTGCTCTGTACGCTGTCTCCACAGAAAAATCATCTACTAGAAAATACTGATAAGTTGCTTATCAAACTCATTTTTCCTCTGAATCCATTGTTTATTTTCTTCATACAGTTTTGAGCAAAACCCAGATCATGAAATCTAAAATTAGTCGCCAAAACAGTTTTTTACGAGTCATTACAATTCCCTATCGGGCTCTATGCAAAGCCCGGGATTTCTACGTGAGAAGCATTACAGATTGCTCAGACATGACGAATTATCGTCCCACGAACGTGCGTGGCCTGCCCAAAAGCTACAGCGTCAGCTCAACCATGTCGTCGGAAAGTGAGGATTTCAGGGAGCTCGTTCGTGCTTCGTCGACCCGGAGCATCGGCAGTAGAATTGACCTGGAGCTGTACCTGCAACAACAGAAGAAGATCGGGCCGGTTTCCGAGGCCGAGACGCGGCCCATGCCCAGAAGTAGCAGCGTGGCCATGGGGAGTATTGATGAAGATCGGCCGTGTTGTTATTTTGGAGAAATGAATGTGAATTTGAAGAGAGAATTGAAGTATCCCAGAAGCAGAAGCCATGCTGCGGCAACAGCATCAGCCTTTTGATCTATTTTTTGTAGGTATTGTTACTTGATGAAATGGGAGATCAAAAAGTTGTAAATTCTATGAAATATATGGTTAAAATTAATTGTATCAAATATGAATTTAAATGACTGGTTGAAAATTCAATAAGAGTTGTAGATCTTATGAAATTTTTAGTTAAAATTAATTATTGATGTTAAAATAAATTTTTATCAATAGTTTTTTAGTTAAATCAAGTAGGGACTTCATAGAATGAATATATCAGGCACCTCCAGGAATCGAATTATGTTAGTATCGCAAATCATGAGTTGTGAGTTGAACTCTCCGAGTAAAGTAATAGACTGCTATTATAACCTAACTGTAACACCCCGGATTTTTTATTGTATTTCCCTATGTGCTAAATTTGAGGTTTGATATTTAGCACATGAATAGTTCATGTCTAGTTTGGTCGTCACACTAAAAGTCCAAAAGTTGAACGATAAACTCGTACCACTAATTTACGTA